GTCAGTATTTTTTTTATTTTTGATTAACTTCATTTTTTTTTTTTTATTAACTTCAAACCATCATCTAATGCCTACTTCAAGTTAATCTTTAAAAGCCCTAAGAAAACAGAAACATCAATTTTTCATCTGTACATTTTAATGGTCTGATGTCTAAATCAACTTGTAGCATTTAAAATGATTGATTTATGTTTTAACTGGGATTTTTGTTTTATTCAAACAAACTAGTAAAGAATTAATTTTTGATTTTCTCTCCAATTTAAATATCGAAATTTCTCTTCTCAGGAGTGTGATCGTGTGGAACAGCTGCAGAGTAAACTGTACTCATATACTATGCTCGGATTACCCAAGATGCCTCCGCAGCTCTCGTTCCACAGAGACTCGTGGGAAGAGGAGCCCAACCTGGAGCTAGAAGAGAGCTGGAAGCAGCTTTTGGACAATCCTGAGGTAAACGCACTACTACTTTGGCAATTTTTCTATAGTTTCATTCAGACATTATAACCCATAATAAATTGTGGATCAACATAATATTACTTCATGTCCGATGATAATTCTGTCAAGTTAATGACCATAACCAGTTATGAATGGTTTTATGACAGCTTTTCCATTAATGTTTTGGTGTTAGGCCTTCACTCTCATGGAGATGGATGTTTTATTGTTCTTGTTGTGATCGATTTTCTAGATGTAACTACAGTAACAAAACATTGTTTTTTTTTTTTATCCTTAAGCAAAATCAACACTGCACTCTTTAAGTTTCTGATAGATCAGTCTGGAGGCACTTTAACTCCCAAAACTTTGATGAATAGAGAGTCACCCTGGTATGTTCATGTAAAATATTCACAAAAATGTACAAAAACAAATAAACATCTAAAATTGGTCTGCTCAGTGCCATCAGCAAGAGGCTATATGGGAACTGCTGCAGACAGAGTCAGACTACATCAAGAAATTGCATGTCATCACTGATGTAAGAGCCCACTGATGTTTACTTCAGTACATTATCTTAGTATCTATGCAAATGTGTGTGAAAATGCCATTGAAATAGGTCTCGTTGTTTTCAACAAGACCATGAGAGGAATTTATAATATTTATCTTGTCATGTGCTCATTGACTTCAGCATTTATGGTACTTTTATGTGTCTTGTGACAGATTATTTGTGAAACGTTATAGCACAGTATAATTAGAATCTCTTCCTCTTTCGCCAGCTGTTTCTGTGTGGCCTGCTGAACCTGCAGGAGAGTGGTTTACTTAGTGAAGTCGAACCTGTGCGCCTCTTCAGTAACATTCAGGACATCGTGCAACTGCACACATCCCTGTGGGCTGAGGTCATGCTGCCGGCGCTAGAGAAAGCCAGACAGAAAAGATCAGTGATCAACCCCACTGAACTACATCAGGGCTTCAGCACTGTGAGTGTGTGTATATCATTTGTCAAGACTTTAATGAATAGTTCACCCAAAACTGAAAACTTACTCATCCATAGGCCCTTGAAGTTTTAGATGAGTTTGTTGTATGATCACTGAATGGGTGCCGTCAGAATGAGAGTCCAAAAATGTCACATTAATCTACAAGTAATCCACATGATTACAGTCCATCAGTCCTACAGAAAGCTACATGTTTGTAGTAAATTCATCATCAAGACATTTTTCCACTTCAAACCATTGCTTTCTGCTTAGATATGAGTCCTCTATCCATAATAATGCTTTCTCCAATGAAAAAAAGTTGTTGTGTTTGAATCAGAATTTTATCTGTATTTGAGCTCTCATTCTTAAGGTCTTTGCACACTGAGTCCGACATTTTCGCACGTTAAAAAATAAATATGACCTCACGTTGTGTCAATCACGTTTACACACTGCCTCTGAAACTTTCGTCCGTCATAAAAAATTCGGACCAGGTTCGATTTTCTGCATTTTCACATCCGTAACAAGCATTTTGATAGGAAAGAATGACGAATACGAAAAAACGCATACGAAAATTTCGGACTCGGTGTGCAAGGACCTTTACAGCACTCATTAGTTGATTTTCAGCAATTTTGTGAACTAAAAGCCTTTAAAGTGATCAAAATTGCCCCTACATTTTTAAACATCATTTTGCTGGCCTGATTACATTTTTTTTATGTGCAGTTTGGTTTCCGATTCAAGCCCTACATCCATTACTACATGGAGGAAGAGGCCTGTATGGAGTACATGCGCACTTTACTGAAAGACAATGAACTCTTCAGAATATACGTAACTGTGAGTAATTATTACAATCCATATCTGGTTGCTCTTCAGCCAGACACATTAACCTTTGATGGATTCCGTCTGGTGACAAATATAAAGGCATGTCTGAAGGTTTATTGTATATGAGAGATCACCTGTATTGTAACTGCACTCTCATTATGACTCAGTGATTCCATCATGGTCTGCTTGTGCTGCCAGTGCATGTTTATGATTGTTCACCAAATGAGACTTTCAATAAACTTTTCCATCCTGTAGTGAGTCTGGTGACAAATATAAAGGCATGTCTGAAGGTTTATTGTATATGAGAGATATGAGAGATCACCTGTATTGTAACTGCACTCTCATTATGACTCAGTGATTCCATCATGGTCTGCTTGTGCTGCCAGTGCATGTTTATGATTGTTCACCAAATGAGACTTTCAATAAACTTTTCCATCCTGTAGTGGGCAGAAACTCATAAACAGTGCAACCGGCTGAAGCTGACAGACATGTTGGTGAAGCCTCATCAAAGACTTACTAAATATCCACTGCTGCTCAAAAGCGTGTTGAAAAAGACAGATGACCCGCCAACTCGTGAGGCTCTTAACAAAATGGTAAGAAATTATTTCTAAAATCTTTGCAGTAGACCACATGCACACATTGTTCAGTAGTAAATTGTTTATTTTAATGTTGTTTACAATAGTGTATTCAAACTAGAGGGTTTTGGGATTGCCAGTCCATGCCAAATTGTATTGAATTATATAATAATCACAATAATATTGTGAAATATTCAGATGTCTAAGACCACATTTAAATTCTAAAAAAAAAAGAATTCTAGGGATTTTAACCTGGTAAAAGTTTAAAATAAACAATTAAATGTATATATATGTATATGTATGTATGTATGTATATATATATATATATATATATATACGTATGTGTGTGTATAATGTATTACATTTCTAATAAAAATATTATATTATATTAAAATTTATAAATTGATATAAATAATTGCAATTTAATTTAGATATTTAAGATATACGTTAAATATATACGTTATATTTTATTGTCTATTATTTTTATTGTGTATTGACAGTCCCATAGTAAATATTTGTTTTTGTGGTCAGGTGGCTGCTGTTGAATGCTTCATTAACAGTGTGGACTCACAAATGAGACAAAGGGAGGAAAAACAGAAGCTGGCTGCCATCGCTGGACGTATAGAGGCGTATGAGGCTGTGGACGGGGCCAGCGAGGAGGTGGAGAGGGTGAGATGCATAAACTACGAGTCACTTTCTTCAGAATGTTGCATGGTTTATATGAGATCTTGAAGAAACAAGTAGCAACTTCAGATCTACTTAGTGTCTCTATTACCATCCATTCTGTCTGCATTGACCCTTCAGATCCTCAGGGAATATAATAATTTTGACCTGACCGCTCCAGTCATGGGTGCTCCACCTGAAGAGACCCGTCAGCTGCTCCTAGAGGGAGCTCTGAAGATGAAGGAGGGTAAAGAGAGCAGGGTACGATTTCCTCTTTATATTTGTTACACGGAGAAACAGAGCCAGCATTTCTGAGTGCACTTTAGTAAGAAATGTATTTTTAACTAACAGCCGATAGTTGTCTAAAAGCTTCTCACTGGTCTCCATTAACTCCTTTTTCCAACAGATGGATGTATACTGTTTCCTGTTCACTGACGTTCTGTTGATTACTAAGTCGGTGAAGCGTGTGGAGAAAGTGAAGGTGATCCGGCAGCCTCTCGTCATCCATAAGGTGGTGTGCCGAGAGCTGAAAGACCCAGGAAGCTTCCTCCTTATC